CATCCTGGGCAAGTACTCGACGGTGGGCTCCGTGGCCGAGGTCAACTCCAAGTTCAGCACGCTCAAGATCGTCGACATGAAGCAGACGGCCGAGTACACGGACGACCTGTACGGCCTCAAGACGCTGGACACGGCCGGCGCTCTCCACATCCACGAGGTGCCCGACGTGCCGCACAACTGCTGGCTGTTCGACTACACGTCGCTGGCCACCAAGGTGCTCTGCAAGCACAAACCTGTGTACGACGCCGAGATCTACCCCCTGCTGGTGTAAGGCTGCAGTATGGAGCCCACCGCCGCCGTCCTATAATCCTAGATCATCGAGCAATTGCTGTTTGACTTTTTCGATAACCACCTTGCCCATGTCCGCAATAGTCGACCACGCGTTCCAGTCGAAACTAAGTTAGGATTTGTACAAATTCTTCAGTGGCGGCACCGCTGCGCTGCTGAAGGCGCTACACTACAAAATAATTTAACCATAAAGCGATGAGGAAGTCGTGCGGCAAGAGCCCAAAGCTGCAAACTAGACAGCATTGCAGCCTGCGACGATGCAGGATGGATTGATACAGTGCTTGCGATACAAATCCACTTCAGGACTTAACTTTTGCTGCTCGGTGCTTGAGCTTTCGTACTCGTGTGTACTGCAGCACACCCGGGGGTAAATAATACTACGTATTAATATAATACATGTACAGTAGTACAAGATACCATCTTCTCCAGTGTTGATCATTCTTCCTCTCGGTGCATTGGAAGCAGCTTGACCAGGAAGGCGTGACCTGATGAATCGCGTGTTGAAGCTCACTCGCGCTCACTCACACTCCGTGATGGCATGCAACAGCCGTGTGCGGGGGCACGCGGATCCGCGTGTCACAATGGGCAATCCATTGTCTACAGTCGGCGCTTCAACGTGGCGCGGCACAGGCTGTGCCGGGGCTGTGCGGTACAGCCCCGGCTGTGCGGCACAGCCCCGGCTGGGAGATTGGGTTTCGGATCGGTTGTCGACGACTTGTCGAAGCGGCCGAGCTACCGGATTGAGATCGAGATCTCCGCGCTCTCTAGCTGCTTATCTTCCGAGGAAGAAGTGGCCGCTTGCCATTGCACATTTTGCACGGAAGCCCCTACTCCACTCCAGCAGTCCAGTCATGGTTTCGTTCCGCGCTCTGTTCGTCGCCGCCACCGCTGCGCTGGTCGGCTCCACCGCCGCCACCGAGGCTGCCGGCGCCAAGCTGCCCGTCTTCTTCTTCCACGGTGCCACGGGCAACAAGACCAACGGCGCCGAGATCGAGGCCAACCTCAAGGCCGAGGGCCGCACGTACGTGGCCCTCGACTTCTGCCAGAACGCGTGCTCGGTGCGTACGGCCCTGTCGACCCAGGTGCAGATGGCCATCAAGCAGATCCGCGGCATCGTGGCCGCGAGCCCCGCCACCTACGCCAACGGCTACCACTTCCTGGCCCACTCGCAGGGCGGCTCGGTGGCCCGTGGCGTGGTCGAGGAAATGGACGACCACAACGTACACTCGTACATCTCCATGGCCGGTGACGGCCATGGCAACTTCTTCGGCCCGCAGGCCTCGGACGCCGTGCCGCTCCAGGTGCTGCTGCAGGCCCTCGGCCCGTACGCCATCGACAAGGCCGACTTCGACTTCGCCAAGTACGCGGCCGACTCGACCTCGTGGAATGGCAAGTTCCAGAGCGACCTGATCCAGACGATCACCACGAACCAGGCGCTGCAGGGCAAGAGCTCCATCGCCAACATCATCACGCCCCCGCTGGCCGGCGCCGCGCTCAACAACTGGCTCGACAACGACCCGTTCCTGCCCAAGGTCAACAACCTGCAGAACTGCGGTGCCGACGCCAAGTGCAAGGCCGACCAGGCCCGCCGCAAGGCCAACTTCTCCAAGCTCAAGGCCGCGCACTTCTTCGCGTCGCCGCAGGACGACGTCCAGGCCCCGTGGCAGACCTGCATCCTGGGCAAGTACTCGACTGTGGCCACCCTGGACGAGATCGAGACCAAGTTCGCCGACTTCACTATTGTCCCCATGAAGGAGACCGTCGAGTACACGGACGACCTGTACGGCCTCAAGACGCTGGACACGGCCGGCGCTCTCCACATCCACGAGGTGCCCGACGTGCCGCACAACTGCTGGCTGTTCGACTACACGTCGCTGGCCACCAAGGTGCTCTGCAAGCACAAACCTGTGTACGACGCCGAGATCTACCCCCTGCTGGTGTAAGGCTGCAGTATGGAGCCCACCGCCGCCGTCCTATAATCCTAGATCATCGAGCAATTGCTGTTTGACTTTTTCGATAACCACCTTGCCCATGTCCGCAATAGTCGACCACGCGTTCCAGTCGAAACTAAGTTAGGATTTGTACAAATTCTTCAGTGGCGGCACCGCTGCGCTGCTGAAGGCGCTACACTACAAAATAATTTAACCATAAAGCGATGAGGAAGTCGTGCGGCAAGAGCCCAAAGCTGCAAACTAGACAGCATTGCAGCCTGCGACGATGCAGGATGGATTGATACAGTGCGTGCGATACAAATCCACTTCAGGACTTAACTTTTGCTGCTCGGTGCTCGAGCTTTCGTACTCGTGTGTACTGCAGCACACCCGGGGGTAAATAATACTACGTATTAATATAATACATGTACAGTAGTACAAGATACCATCTTCTCCAGTGTTGATCATTCTTCCTCTCGGTGCATTGGAAGCAGCTTGACCAGGTAGGCGTGACCTGATGAATCGCGTGTTGAAGCTCACTCGCGCTCACTCACACTCCGTGATGGCATGCAACAGCCGTGTGCGGGGGCACGCGGATCCGCGTGTCACAATGGGCAATCCATTGTCTACAGTCGGCGCTTCAACGTGGCGCGGCACAGGCTGTGCCGGGGCTGTGCGGTACAGCCCCGGCTGTGCGGCACAGCCCCGGCTGGGAGATTGGGTTTCGGATCGGTTGTCGACGACTTGTCGAAGCGGCCGAGCTACCGGATTGAGATCGAGATCTCCGCGCTCTCTAGCTGCTTATCTTCCGAGGAAGAAGTGGCCGCTTGCCATTGCACATTTTGCACGGAAGCCCCTACTCCACTCCAGCAGTCCAGTCATGGTTTCGTTCCGCGCTCTGTTCGTCGCCGCCACCGCTGCGCTGGTCGGCTCCACCGCCGCCACCGAGGCTGCCGGCGCCAAGCTGCCCGTCTTCTTCTTCCACGGTGCCACGGGCAACAAGACCAACGGCGCCGAGATCGAGGCCAACCTCAAGGCCGAGGGCCGCACGTACGTGGCCCTCGACTTCTGCCAGAACGCGTGCTCGGTGCGTACGGCCCTGTCGACCCAGGTGCAGATGGCCATTAAGCAGATCCGCGGCATCGTGGCCGCGAGCCCCGCCACCTACGCCAACGGCTACCACTTCCTGGCCCACTCGCAGGGCGGCTCGGTGGCCCGTGGCGTGGTCGAGGAAATGGACGACCACAACGTACACTCGTACATCTCCATGGCCGGTGACGGCCATGGCAACTTCTTCGGCCCGCAGGCCTCGGACGCCGTGCCGCTCCAGGTGCTGCTGCAGGCCCTCGGCCCGTACGCCATCGACAAGGCCGACTTCGACTTCGCCAAGTACGCGGCCGACTCGACCTCGTGGAATGGCAAGTTCCAGAGCGACCTGATCCAGACGATCACCACGAACCAGGCGCTGCAGGGCAAGAGCTCCATCGCCAACATCATCACGCCCCCGCTGGCCGGCGCCGCGCTCAACAACTGGCTCGACAACGACCCGTTCCTGCCCAAGGTCAACAACCTGCAGAACTGCGGTGCCGACGCCAAGTGCAAGGCCGACCAGGCCCGCCGCAAGGCCAACTTCTCCAAGCTCAAGGCCGCGCACTTCTTCGCCTCCCCGCAGGACGACATCCAGGCCCCGTGGCAGACCTGCATCCTGGGCAAGTACTCGACGGTGGGCTCCGTGGCCGAGGTCAACTCCAAGTTCAGCACGCTCAAGATCGTCGACATGAAGCAGACGGCCGAGTACACGGACGACCTGTACGGCCTCAAGACCCTCGACACGTCCGGCCGCTTGCACATCCACCAGGTGCCCAACGTGCCGCACAACTGCTGGCTCTTCGACTACACGTCGCTGGCCACCAAGGTGCTCTGCAAGCACAAACCCGTGTACGACGCCCAGATCTACCCCGTGCTGGTCTAAGTCGGGCCAATCTACCAGGTAGATAGACAAAGCTATCGAGCAACTAAAGAGTCGACACTAATTCAGTCTGTTGCTTCATATCCGACTGACCCTTCACGTGAGTCCTTCTTGAACGAAACTAACCTGGCCATGAGCAGTGTCTCCGGGTCTGTTCGTCGGCCGGCCCGGGCCGAGGCGAAGAGAACGCCATCCAATGCGTAAGTGACTCTGGTGTCATCATAATTCTCGATGGGTTCTCATTCTCGTTGATTCAATGTAGCGTGGCAGACCGCCTCAAAGCGACAGAAGTAAGCAGCTCAATCTACTCACTGCCAAGTAGTTTTTGTCGATGCTGAAGTGAATGATTTTGTGCTTGACGACAGGAAGCTTTGAAGGTTGCACAAGCTACCATTGCCAGGCAGGAGAAACGAGAGCAGGAGCTACGGCGCTTGGTCGTATCACACGGGATCGCCCAGGATGCAACGGAAGCCAACCCTGCGGTGGAAGGTTGGCCTCATTGCTATTCTGTGGCGCCCATGAACATTCACCAACCCACACGACCTCTGCAATGTCAACAGCCAAAGTCGGTGCGCTCAAGGCTGTGCACGAGCAAAAGGTGCGAGCTCTGATGCGGTCGATCAACCAGCTACAGGAGCAGCTCCAGGGACTGAAAGCTCAAGAAAAAGAGCACCGTCGGTCCGCGTTGATCCAAGACCTACGCACACAGCAACGCGAACAAGAGCTGCTTATCGACGTACTCAAGCAAGCTCTGCAAGAAAAAGCACCAGAGTTTCAGGACTCGCGTGCACTTGTAAACGATTTCGTTCTCAAGAAGGCGGTGGGGGCTCCATTGAGGTTCCGCCCGAAAACGCGTGAAGAACTCGAGAATGAGCTGCAAGCGCTCGGTCAAAATTTCCAGCGGACGGTGGAGAAACTCAAGCAAGACAACCAGCGCAACGCCGCAGCAGCGAAGGAGGAGAAACCCAACGAGAGTGAAGAAGAAGAAGAGGAAGATGATGCGAAAGAGGAGAAGGACGCAGCCAATTTAGCCAACAATCGCGATGCTGCTGCAGGTGAGTTTTTTTGTGAGATTCTGTCATTCTGGAAGGATCATATCTAACGTAGTAAGACGACAGATGAAGCTCTGTACGAGGAGCTGGAGCAGCTTCGGGCCCAGGTGGCCTCCAAGGCGGTAACCATTCACGCCCAAGCGGACGAGATGGCCGAGCTGTATGCTGATCTGGACAAATTGAGAGTGTGAGTATGCTGGAATTTTACTCGGTCGTCCTAATGCAACGGTGGGATCTGATAGAATGGTGGCATCGTAGATTTGAGGACCAGATCGTGCGCAAGAAGCACAAGATCGCGCTACTTCGAGAGCAACTGGAGCGCCAACAAGCAGAAAATGTCGAGCTGGTCCAGGAAAAAGAGGATCTTAATGAGAAGTACCTACAACTCCAGGAAGAGGCTCAATTTCTACGTGATATCAACATGGAGGACGCTGGGGCCAAGGATGAGGAGCGATTGCAGCAACTCGAGCTCATTCAAACTCTGCGTTCCCGAGAGCTGGAGCTCCAGGACGAACTGGAAACTCAACAGAAAAAATGGTCCAGCGATCGAGACACGATGCATCAGCGCTTGCGGCTACTCGAAAGGGAGAAGCTCCTCGCAGAGGAGGAAGGCGCTCGAATGGGGGCAGAGCTGACGAAACTACAAAAGAAACACGGTAATTGGTTCTATTAAACCTGCGGTCGAAAAACACTCACTAAACCAATTGTTACTATGATTCAGATGCATCACTGCAGGAGGCGCGTGAGCTGAAGATGGCAGTTCAAGAGGAGCAGGATCAAAAACTGCTTCTGGCTAACCGAATTGAGGTAGAATTGCTTGTGTCTGAGGAGTCAATTCACGTGATTTAAGGTCTAATGCTGTTTGTAGGAACTCGAGGGGAAATTGGTTCAGCTGGAGGCTCTGTCTCAAGAAGAGCGTGAAAACAACGCACACGCTACAGCAGAAAAACTCGCGGCCCTGGAAGCTCTGATGAAGAGAAG